AAGTCCTTCAGCCCTTAAAGGGGAAAGGTTGCCTACCCCTGTTCTAGGGCACATAGGAATTCTTATGGGGGAACCCATTGGTTTCTTCATGCATTATTGGGTTGTCAAATGCAGTATACCCCACTCTATCCCTAACAAAGAGGATTTTCGTCCCAATGATGAAGTAACTTGAGAAGCATGTTTCTCGATCCAGACAACTCTGTCTGTTTGGACCATTTGGCTCTAGCCCATGAAATCTGACTCATAAACCAAAAGTTTAACTTCTCAAAGCCATGAAACTCACCATCTCAAGAGAAGATCTTCTGTCACTATTCTGTGGATGTGAATCTCTATCACTCATCCAGCTAATAGTAAGTGAAGTTTGTGTATCTTCTATTATTTGGATCCATTCTGGTTGCAGAGAGATGGAGAGTTTGTAGTCTTCCAGATGTTGATAGACTGCAACTCTTGTGATCCTTAAGCATTGGTTATGCTGGCTAGGGATCTTCAATCCATTTATCCATCCCCCATCCCCATAATATAGCACCACAGTCATGAACATTTGTCCAGGCATACAACTATGTTCCCCTCCATAATATGTATGAGCCCATTTTACTGGTACCTGACAAATGAACACCCAAATCCATATTGGCTGCTTTTGTCCTTTCTCTTAGGAGCTCCAAACTGATGCTTCAGCCTCCCATCAACTTTGTGAGGTGGCCTAAGCTAAGAAACAGTGATTTGCCCAAAATAAAAAGATTTATCCTCTAAGCTTCATAACACAGGCAAGGATTTGTACTTGGATTTCCTGCTCACTATACTACACTAATGGAGTCCATGTTTTCTTTTGGGGTTTGAAGGATTATGGGAAACTTGGCAACAAATGATCAGAAAATCATTCAGCCACAGGCATTTTGTATTGCCTGAGTACAAGGGATCAATTATCAAGACCAATGTACAGCAGAAAAGTCAACACCTTGCAGCATTAAATGTACCAGGATTTCTACAAAGTATGTCCTCCATGTTCATGTTTAAGTCTGTATTGAATGAGCTACCCAGCAGCCTGTGCAACAGCTGGGTGGCCAGCCATTGATCTTTATGCAATAGGCTATATTTTTATTATCAAATTATAGCTTCTGCTACCTATGGCATGCATCCTAATTACTGCTGATTCAATCTTACCTAGCATTAATATCATTTTTAAAAATGCTGTTCAAAAGTAATTTGCACCAAGCTCTACTTTTATTTTACTTGTGTATATATTGTACTTTTAGACTGCTAAAAACTACAGATCAATGAGTAGTCTGCAATACTTTAAAATATAATATATAAATTCAGTGTAAAATACAAACAATGAAATGAAGACTGCGGCTATCACATAATAATAAAACCAGACCACGACTTATACTCAGATGCTTGGATATAACCTTATTTAATACTATCACAACTATTTATTTATTTATTTATTCTGTCTTGTGCACTAGATTTTAAACAGTTATCCCCTCTCCCAGATGGCAATTTTCTTCAATAGCCTAAACATTAAAAATGCCAACAGTATACTTCAGACAGTCAAAAAGTATCTTTAAAAATTCACAGGTGGTCACTGGAGCTTTCCTACATGACAGAAAAAAGAAAACAAAAACAAAAACCCAAGAACATGAACATTCCAATCAGATGCACACAAAAACCCCACTGAGTACTTTCTAGAATATATTATCACTATTTTTTCCTGCCTTGCAACACAAACTGTTTAAGAAACACCTTATCATTTTTCATGTTACACTTACACTTAATAACAGATGTCACTGATATAAATGTTCTTCATCTATATAGAGTTAATGGAGAAAAGTCAGGCAAAAAAAAAAAAATAGATTGGAAGTTGGATGAACATTTCCACTGAAATCATGAAATTTTTATGGGCTGGACCATGACTGTGGTGGTGGGGAGTTCAGGAACCAGTTCAAAATAAGCATCAGGCTTGTACTGTATGTAGAATTACAGAACCATAGAGTTGGAAGGGACTACAAGGACCACCTCGTCCTCTGTGAATCTGCTTCAAAAGCTAAATGAAGGACAGACAGTTCAATGCCTTCAGAGCTGGCCTATTCCACAAGTGAGCAGCTCTTACCATCAGGAGGTTATTCCTAGTGTTTAGCTGGAATCTCCTTTCTTGTAATTCCTCCATATATAGTAGCATGATGTAATTTCCAGAGCTAAATGCTACATCAAAGAGCACAGGTTGAGCTATTTGGCATACAAAGCTATACCCCTAATTTTCTTGACATTACCCTGAACCTCCCCAACATCTGTCTGTTTTCTTTTTGCCTTTCCTCATTACCCATTGCTGTTGGTACTGGAAGGTGGAAGAACATAGGCTTTGCATGCAGAAAGGAAGAGAATAAGGAAAGAATTGTAAGTCACCTTTTTGCACTTCCTGAGACTTGCTGCAATAATAACTACCCTCGTCTCTTGAATTTACACATTTGTGGGGATTATGGGGAATTTCAGAAACAGCACCCCACAATTTACTGTGATGGTTGACTTGGAGTCAGAGCATGTCAGAGAAGAGAGTGGTGGCAACATGTCTAGCACTTGTGTTGCATGTACACTTGTAGGCTTCTCCTTCTTGGACTATGGGCCTTTGCAGACTGCCAGAAATAGTGCAAATTGAGTCCACTTTAAGGGTTAAGGTTAGTGCTAGGGAATCATGGGAACTGTTTTTTTTCTGAGACATTGAGTCTTCTCTGTCAGAGACCTCTGGTGCCACAATAAAATACAGTTCCCATTATTCCCTAACCCTAATCCTAACCCTAAAAGTGGACTCAGTTTGCACTATTTCTGGCAGTCTGCAACCCCCCTCAGTTGGCATCAGAGCTTCATCCCCCCCACCTGTTGACCAGCCCAGTTCATTTGTTAGGGAACCATCTTTGGTGACAGATATGGGCAGACACCATTGTACAGTTCCTTTTGCCACCTAGATTCACCTGAGCTGAATGTAACCCTTTCTTCCCAAATTCACAAGATTCCTCAAGGAGACCTTTTTTTCTTATGATGTGCATACAATCCTTGTCTCCAACCCCCTTAATCTGGATCTCTTGACGACCAACATTGTGACAAATGACTACACCACTCATAACCAGATATTCAGTGCCAAATATAGGGAGGTTGGGGCAGGGGGGATGATGCCAACTGAAGCTGGAGCATCAGGTTGATACCCAGGTCCAGACCCATGTAAAGGCCCAAGCCTATTTGGAACTATAATCAATAAATTTCTGGCCAATATTCTGTTCCATCTGTCTATTTGTGGTTATTAAAGCAGAGCTGGCTTACCACAAAATCAACAAATAATGTTCACAAAATATTTTACCCATTTTAAATTGCAAATGGATAAGAATACATACCTTTTTTAAAAAAATACACACAAACGCAGTTTAGTCAGTATGGGGAAATGTGTAGATTTGGCCAAATGCATAAATATACGTGCACTATAGGAAAAATGCATTAAAATGTGTATGAATTTCATAGCAGAAAAAAATAAAGTCTTGCAATCTGATATGAACCAAAGACAAGAAGAAAACACGGGTGATTGGGAGAAATATGGTGTAATTGAGACTGAGAAAATTTTCAGATCTGTAGATGGGAAAGACTTCTGCCAGATACATGTCATGGAGAGCAGTTGCCAGACAGAGTAGAAAATATTGGACTAGATGAACAAATAGTTGGACTTAGACTATATAGCATTTGCCTATGTGCAGAAAGAACATCCTTGGATCAGACTGTTTCCCAATCCCTACTTGCCTGCTTATTTGTGTTGTATGTTGTGTGCCTTCACATCATTTATGACTTATAAATACCCTAAGGTATGGGGCTTTCTTGGGAAGATTTTTTTCAGAGGCCATTGCCATCCCATGAGGCTGAGAGAGTGTGACTTGCCCAAGGTCACCCAGTGGGTTTCATTGCTGAGCTGGGAATTGAACCCTAGTCTCCTGAGTTGTAGTCTCCAACTCAAACCACTAGGCCACGCTGGCTATCTGCTTATTCAATCTTTCTAAAATAGAGTGACTGTTGAAATACTATCCTCCTCACAGATTGCATTACTCTGTCCAAGCTTTTTGAGTATAGGCAACAGGGCTGACTATTACTAATATGATCTGCTAGTTAAATGTAGTTGGTTACCCATCATCTTGAGGAGCATTTTTCTTTTAAAAAATCATAACAAGCTTTTGCCAATGATATATCCAAAATGAAAGGTAACACCAAATAAAGGTTTAAAACTCCAGCCTGAGATATGATTTCATTGATGGGAGAACTACTCAGTGACCTGGCATCAGAATGAACTAATCAATTAATGCTGTCAAGTAAACAGATCTGTCCCTTTTAGTTGCTGTGAAACTTGATATTTCTTCCTATCCTACTCCTGCAGTGAATGGAAATTACATCAAGTCTGGCTGAGAGAAAAGAGCCACACGCACAAACACAAAAGAACTGTGCATCATAAAGATGTATGTCGTTCTGAATCAAATTTTAATCTTCCAACACAAAAGTTCAAGAAACATGCTTCAGATGTTGATGACAATCATTTTGCCAACAATATATTATTGCAAAGGATCATATGCATATCAGCTGGAAAGCAAACATTATAATTCACTGCTGCCATCACCATACCACAGATGAATCCCACTAATGTCCCTGACGTTTTACCACTGTATAAATAGTTATGAATCAAGTTGGCCATAACTAGTATCTGGCAATGTACAAGGATGAAACATGAGTGCTAGACTCTTGCACATACTGTTTCATTTGACATTCCATTGTCCCATTTAATCATTACTCCGATGCTAATTAAATGTAGTAATTATCATGCGACACTTGAGACAATAACATGGACAGGGATGGGGCATCACAGAAGTCTTTTGTGTATGTTATATTGTAAAAGACAGAGATGAACGTGAGGATGTGTTCCAGTTCTTCAGGCCCAAATGCCTAATTTGCACATTTGTACATATTTGCATATTATGCAAATTAGGTACATTAATTGTTGTATTTTTTAAAAAAATGGCTATAGTATCATTTATACACTACGTGCTGATCTAAGGAAGCCCATATAGTCTAAGGTGAGCTTGTCAGACTTGAAACAGGAACACTCAAGTTGAAATCCTCACCTATATCAGTCTCTGCCTCTCAAGAAACCTATTTTACAGGGTTGTTATGGGAATTAAGGTAGAGAGGTGAACCATGTAAAGTAGCCATTTACTTTGCCAATTCAGAACAAATAAAACAACAACGACATTTTATTATGCACAACTGCTTCCAGTAGAATTCTCACTGGATCACTACAGGAGCTTTTTTTTTGTCACCAGTTTATACTCAGCATCAAACAATGCTGTGTGCTAGAACAGAGCACTGAGATTGCATCTACACTGTAGAATTAATGCAATTTGACTTTAACTGTCATGGCTCAATGCTACAGAATTGTGAGAAATATTTAGTTTCCTGTGTCAGAAAGCTTTGGTACCACAACAAACTACGAATCCCAGGATTCCACAGAATAGAGCCATGATAGTTAAACAGTGTCAAACTGCATTATTTCTACAGTGCAAATACACTTGTCCCTCCTGGTTCACTGACTTCCCATCTGTGGTTTTGATCCTTTGCAGACAGCAAGCCAGGAGGGACAAAATGGTGCACACACCCATGGGAGTGCACCACCATTAAAATAAATGGGGTTTAAATATCTGTTTTTTCCCCATTCACTGAGGGGGATGGGGTTAGGGTTAGGGTTAGGGTTAGGGGTTTGACACCACTTTAAGTGGTATAGCTGTGGAAATACTATGAAGTGTGGTTTTACAATGTCTTTTGCCTTCTCTGCCAAACTATGCTGGTACCGCACAAAACTATGAATCCCAAGATTCTGTAGGATGGAGCCATGGCAGTTAAAGTGATGTCAAATTGCATTATTTTTACAGTGTAGATGAACCCTTGGCTTGCTGTTGGTGACTTGGTTTTTTTTCAGTTCTTTTCTTTTTCAGACTTCAGATTGTTCCATCCTATTTCCACATAGTATACAATTTTAAAAAAACTTTTTAAAAACTTTTAAAATGCATTTTCATGTTCACTTTGCCTAACATACATATATTTCTATGCATTTTTCCAAGCTGTTTCCTAAAAAAAAGCAAAAAAGCTTTTCACTAGTGCACAAACTTCTCACAATATTTTGTTGTTGTTGTTGTTGTTGTTGTTGTGTGTCTTCAAGACATTTCTGACTTATGACTACCCTAAGGTAAACCTATCATGGGGTTTTCTTGGCACAATTTGTTGAGGGGGCTTGCCACTGGCATATTGTGAGGCTGAAAGAGTGTGACTTTCTCAAGGATTTCATGGCTGAGCTGAGAATCAAACCCTGGCCTCCAGAGTCCTAGTTCAATACTAAAACTACTATGCCATGCTGGTTCTCTTTCACAACACACAGTATATTATTATTATTATTATTATTATTATTATTATTATTATTATTATTATTATTATTATTATTATTATTATTATTATTATTATTATTTAATTTTCTATGCATTTTTGGAGATTATATGAGAACTATATTGCACATCCCAAGAAATGTAAACACATCCCAAGAAATGTAAACAGAATCCTGTTCTGTTGTGCATCATATTGGTTGCAAGAATGGTTGCAAGTATGAATTTGGTAAGTTTTTATGAAAACAAAATTATTTCCCTTTTCTAATAGCAGGTCCCCCTATTGTTTGGCTTTACGCAGTTTCTATGAAGCCAAATATCTGGATTGGAATTTATTGGAGGTATTTGTTATGGAGCATTCTCTCTCCATTCTGTTTACTTTCTGCTTGTTACATTATGTTTATTATTTTGCTATTCATTTAATATTGTAATATCTTAGCAAACATCACTTTGGGTGTCTTTGGATAAGAGATTAACACTGCAAGTCAAGCAAGCCCCACTATATTTAATGGATCTTATCCTCAAATGAATCCATACAGTATTGCTGACTGGTGTATATATATTTTTGAAAGCCAAATGCTTTCAAGACATTGACATTTTGGGCAATGTCTTCTTCTAAAATCATTACTGCCAAAGAAGATGTTGCTGCTGCTGCTGCTGTTGCTGCAAGAAGGAAATGATCAGATTCCCTCTTCAGTTAAAGGGCAGGCAGGAAAAGTAGAAATCACCAAAGAATAATGGCTGAAAGGCAAATCAATATGAGGTGAAAGGTCAACAAGCTGCCTGCTGTTAGTCTGTCAAAAAGTATTTAAGAGGTTCATTTGATATCACTCACTATTTTTTTAAGAGAGGAAAAAAATGATGTGAGCAATAGATAGATATAGTAATATGACCTTTTTAGTTTGGGGATTAAAAAAAGAAGGAGGAGAAGACTGCGCAGTGATCTAAAGATGGAATCTCAGCCGAGAGCTTAGCTGTCCCTCGAGGCTTGAAGATTATTGCAGATGCAGTGACAACCTTTCAGCCTAGATAAATTGGCTAGTTTCCAGAGAGCTCATTGAGTTCTCTGGGCTACATTAATTTATCAAATTTTAATTACTACTTAAATTATACTAATTCAAACATGAGATGTCAGTTGTACACCATGGGCTGTTCAGCCGCCTTACCCTGACATGATTACTCTTTCCCCCCTTTCGCTTTCTCTTTCTTTCTGGTGATAATGATTTTTCCTTTTAGGATATGTGATGGTGTCTCCCCATCCCCTATATTCTCTAGAAGATAGGGGAAAGAACCAAAAGCAAGCGCTATTGACATTGGCACAGAGGAATGCTTATAGTGTGGTGGAATAGTATTCCACTAATTTCCAGGGGGAACGATAATGGTGGCTTCTCTTTCATGGGGGTAGTAGAGCCATTGTAGGGTCTATTCTGAATTTAGCTTTACAGATGGCCCCTAAGGGGCAGCTCCATGCTGCTCCTGAGAGCGCCAGATTGAGCCCATGGCTACCACATGCCGCGCCCCCAATCCAGTTCTTTGCTGCTCCAAAAAGAGCTGGCAAATGACTCTCCTTTTTGGAGCAGCAAAGAGCCACCCTTACCACTGCTGCTGTGTCTCTTCTGTGCCCCTTTGGCATAGTGTGTCTACACGCTGCACCAAGGGAGAGCCCTGATGCTGTACACCGTGTGGTGGGGTGCGCAGTGTGACAGCGTCATCAGGGCAGAGTCAAGGTGGCCGGTGTGCAGTCACCCCACCCCAACTCCATCCCCAGGCAAGCCCTTGTGGCCAGTCAGTACAGGCCCTTAGCTGAGACCTATCCTCAAAATAGGTTCAGTGGGTTAACTCTGTCAGCCTTAGAGGAAGACAATGGCAACCCACTTCTGAACAAATATTGACAAGAAAACTATAATAGGTTCACCTTATGCTTGCTATATGTTGGAAATGAATTGAAGGCACACAACAGCAATCTTGGATAACTTTTCTAAAGCTCAAATAGTCCTCTATGAAGAAAAAATTGACCAGCTATTCTCTTTTCATCTCAACATATTACTTATATTTAACAAACAAGAAGAAGTACTGAGATACTAACTTGAAACAGTGTTTAACAATTGTTTGCAAGGATAAATATTGAAGGCTTTCCATTTTGGCATCTGTCTACTGAAGAAAAGGCACACTTGAATTACTGTCTACTATGTGAGATCCAGTATAGTTTAGCAGTTTGAGTGTTGGACTAGGACTATAGGAAATTTGGGTTCAAATCCCCATTCAGCCATGGAAACTAGCTGGACAAGTTACACTCTCTCAGCCACAGAGGAAAGCAATGGCAAACCCATTTAAAATAAATCTTGCAAAGAAAGCCCTATGAAGTCAGAGGCACATAACAACAATCACAACAAGATACTGTTGAAAGTACATGGCATCTGCCAAGAAAATGCTGGAAGATTCATTAGCCATGCCAACCTAAATTGGTCAGATGGAACTAAAATTTATAATTGCATCAATTTCAAATAACTTTTGGAACAGAATTTAGTGAACTGATTTTGATCTCATCCACTCAATGA